GACAGTGTGGAGCCTGTTTGGGATTCTCTCTTCCTCCCTTCTCTCTGCCACTTGCATGCATGTGCTCTCTCTTTCTCCCCCAAACTAAATAAATAAACTTAAAAAAAAGAAAATACAGAATGATAATTCAATATATCATTAATACTTCAAAGGAAGAGTAAATAATACTTCACATTTAAATGGATGCTAATATGTGTACTTAAATCGATGTATTAATTTATGAAATATTATTTTTTTTCAAATATGCTTATTGAAATGAAATAAAACTTTGTCCTTAATATGATCTGAGTAGAGGAAAAAAGTGAAATTGGCAATAAAAGACAAGCTCCCAGGGAGTCAGGTCAAGTTAAAACTGACTAAAAATAAATCGTATCTGTTGGCTTTGTAGGACTTTCCAGGGTGAGATGATGGCTTGATGACAATAAGCACAAAATCCATGAGAACACAAAGGATAAAAATCTCCCAAAGGTGTCAGATAATTTTTAAAGGATGGAAGGGGTTTACCAGAAAAAAAAATCAGGGAAAGACATTCTAGACTAAGAGTACATCATTTGGAAAGGCCTGGGATAGCACATTTCAGAAATCTCCAGTAACAGGAGATTGGAGAACAGGTTAAATGCAAGGGCCCAATGGGTGATAAAACAGAAATATATGTAACAGCCAGATCCCAACAGTGCATTTTGGCATCATTCCTTTGGACACAATGATTACCTCCATTGAACCAGCCACAGGTCCAGGAACACAGAGATGAAAAAGAGCCCTTGAGAAGCTCATGGTCTAGTAGGATATTCAGATGCATAAATAAAAGTTTTGCATCTTGTGGAAAGCATAAGGACCAGATGTACACCTGGGGCAATCTGGAGCACCAGCCGGGGCATGTCAGGAAAAGCTTCCAGGTAAAGTAACACCTGAACTGTGTCTTGAATGAAGAATAGGAAGAGTGAGTCAAGGCTTTTATGGATTCACAAGTCATAATACAGAGTTTAGGTTTTATTCTCTGAGGGTGTTGAGGTTAGGGTGGAGTAGGATGTTAATTAAGGAGGAGAAAGAGATGCTCCTAGACTAATTCTCCCTATTACTAAAACTTTGTCCTTTCTCTGATTGTGGTTTTGTTTGATTCCTCCTAATTCTCTTTTATCAGTGAGCTAGAAGGAAAATGTGAGGACAATCTCCCATTACCCTGGCTAGTAATTCCTCCCTTGCTGAATCACTTTTTCAGAGATAAATGTGACTTAAAGAGTATAAACATAGGCTTTTAAAACCAGAGATGGTTATTTAATTGGATTCTCACATAATACATACTCCTATATTTAGTGTAAATAAAATTTTTTTACTCAGCCATGTCAACTGTGACAAATTTTAAGTGAAGATAATTAAATTTTTTGAAGAAACAACATAAGAAAATAAGATAGGATTATTTTATTTCCATAATTAAATGTAATAATTGTAGAGGATACAACATATTGTAATAATAAATAATTGTCTTTTCTGGAATCCTTTAATCACTACAAACTGCAAATCTGAAATGTCCTTGACAAATCATTATGACATGTTTCAAAGATAGCTTCTTCTAGAACTTCCTTTTGCATTAAAATTATGAAAAATGACAACCAGTATCAAGCCTCATTCACCTCAGTGATGAGCACTGAAGGCACTCAATAAAACATCTGGCACAATGACCTAAAACCCAGTTTGTAATGTCAAGATATAGAAATTGTGCTCCAGTTGCATTATCTGGTGGTTTTTTTTAAAGCATAAATGAAGAATAGGTACATTCAGTGATGTACTGGTATGTATTTAAACCAGGTGTCAGGGTTAGGGGTTTGGAACTAATTTGTGACATTGGTCAATTTCTATGGTGTAAATACTGACAACATGGACAATTTAGAACTACGCACATTATATCACTGAACATGAATTTGGGAAGGGATGAACAATAGCACTCTATTATATTTATTTTTAACATACAGATATCATAGATGTAAATAACCTCAAGACCCAAAGTACTAGTAAAATGTAGTAACATAATTAGGACATGATGAGTTTTGGGTATTTAGTACTCTTAATTTTCAACTGCAGTGTGTTTCACAACTGGCTAACATAATTCCTGAAATTTTAACATTAAACTCCTACATTGGTACAAGCTAGTTTCAGCACACCACTGCTGCACTTTTAAATATTAAACTTCAAAAAGATTTCACAAGTTTACATAGTTGAAAGGAAGCATAAGATTCCACAGGGAACACTTACATAAAGCTTGCATAAGGCTTACATTCCACAGGGAATACTTACATAAAAAAAAGCAAAGGATACAGTACATTGAGAGAATACAGGCAAGCATTGGAAAACCAAAAGAAATACAGATGTAAACTCCCACTGTCCTTATTCACACATACATATATATTTTGTCTCCAGATCGAACCACCAAACTCTGTTAACATCAAGATCCAGAGGATCTTGCATTGGGAAACAAACTGGCT